GACGTGACATGTTCGTACGAACCCTTTGTACGAACAAAAGTAAGAGAAATTTAGGAGAAGAATACGAACATGTTCTTGCATGAGGCCTTATGTCCTCATTCTGGGTCTACAAAATATTGCACAAGAGAACCTTCCTTTGGGTTCAGGGGTCTGCAGTTAGTCTGTTTGCCTCAAACTGTTCATATTGTGCAGAAGATGAGAATGACCATAGCTGTCATTTTTCTTCATAATACAACTAAACTATCCAGTTGTTGGAAATAATCAAGCATTGTTTTGGAGAATATTACTAATGTCCCATCATCTTTAGAAAACAGTCTGAATTCTCTTTAAAGCACAAGATGAATAAATTATAGTCAGTAGTGAGTGCTGCCTGGGATGAAGGTACTGGCTGCTGCCACCTGTTCTGGCTCCTCCCACATCTGATTCAAGCTTTGCTCATCTTTTTCTACAGAGAACTACAATACAAGACGTAACATTTATAGTATTTTTCATTTTTATACCCAGTGTCATAAATGGTACCTAAGCAGAATAATAAACACACACAGACACACACATTGTAACAAAGAGTGTTGAAGAGTTTCCCCACCTGAACTGTTTAGATGATCATCTGGCATGCCTTCAAATGGTTGTTGGTTTTCAATCATCCAGTCAACATATCCCCCAGGTCATCGGTCTGTGGTCTAACTGGGGGTCCACCACCTGTATTGAAATGCTCCCTACAAGCAATGGCTGCTGTTTTCTTCAGCTGTATTTTGATGTTGCAATATATGGCCTCATATGAGCAATCTTACATTTTATTGTGAGTAATTAGAAGAATCTGTGTACAAATAATATAATTATATCTTGCAGCCATGTGTTTCATTTTTTTTATTTCTGTGGTTGAATCGTGATGTTTGTCCTCAATTATGGGATGTTTAAAAATAATTTCCTTCCAAATATCTTCTCACTTTCACTGAAGTTTTTTTTTTCTTATTGTTTTCTTTTTTCTTTATCTATGCTTAGTCAGAAGTCAAACTCCTGTTCGGTACACACACACTGCTAAAATGTAGAACAGGAAAGTTCCAGCCCAGGTTTTCAGAGCAACCTCACCTTTGCACCGTGTGCAGATTGTTAATCTAATTCAGTTTCCAACACATAATCTGTCTAATCCTGGATTACCTTAGTCAGTGACTCTGTAGTCTAGAACTAGTTAATCTGAAGTTAAACAACGTCTCAGAAAGCAGTTGGATTAGTGTGGATTAAGTTAGACCAGGCTAGTTTAATCCTGGTTTTATTTAAGCCCTGAGTGCGAAACCAGCCCAAAAAGTATATTTATCCAGTTTTTTTTTATTTCCTACATTTGTAAACGTAAAACTTCCTTTCTTATTAGAACCTTCATGTTATACACATATTTAGGGTATATGATACTAAAACATTAAATAAATAGTTGATATATTTTTTATGATTTTTTTGTTATGCAGATTATCACATAAAGCACTCTGCTATGATTTTACACCTCCTCATAAAAACACACACAGGTTTGTCTCCCTCCAGTTGATCTGTTTATTGTGGCTCAGTCTCATTTGTCTCACATGACTGTGGTTTTCATGCTGCATATTTCATCACACGTAGATGTGATGGCTAACGTGGCTTTGGGGATTGGTAAGATAATTTGTGTGTGAGGAGGAGGAGGAGGAGGCAGTGAAGTGTTGAAGATGTTCAGTGTTGTTTCCAGGTAACCTGACAGGAGGATCAGCTTCCTGTCAGAGCATCATGAGGTGAAAACAAACGGTCTCCAAGAGAGAAAACATATCAAACTGCTCACCGTTAATATTGTTTGTACAAGAAGTCCATAAATGAGTTACTTGTGATTTTTAAATATGAAAATATAGACAGTAAAGTCCCTGAAGGAATTTATATTTGCCACTGACTTTAATGGCAGAGAATTAAACTGAAATCATTTTATAATAAGAAGGAGAAACATTGAATTACAGCCTTATGAATAGTAATAAATAAGAAAATCAGATCTTGTGAGATTTTTTCTTCAGATTTTCACCTTGAGAAGAGCTAAAAAGCAGCTGCAGTCCTCTGGTCTGTGGAGGATCGTCTGGCTGGGGCTGTTGGAAAATACAGCCACCTTTACCACTTTTACAGAAAAAGGCACACAGTGACAGCTCCTCTCTCCATGTTCTTGCAGTGAAGGTGGTTCTGGTACCAGAGGGTCATGTGATGACAGTGACCTTTGCTATTGGGCTCAGGATTGAGGAGCTGAAGGACCACCTGGCTTCAGAGCTCAGAGTTCCCCCCGAGGTCCTGCAGCTGACTCTGGATGGTGAGACTCAACAAGAGGTTTAACCCCAGCTCTGCTGCATGCTAACCTGTCCTTGAGCAAGACACTGAACCCCCCCCCCCACTACCCCATATGTTTATTAGTGCATAATAAGTGTAAAACATGGTGTATGATAGAAAGTACTGAATGTGTGATTTTAAAGTAATAAAAGTGATCAGCTGAAACTCAAAGGAAATTAAAAAAATAGTTAAAGGCACAGTGTGTAGGATTTTGTCAATTCTTTTAGCCAAAATTGAGATAATCACTAATGACAATAATAAAAAACATGTCTAATCATTGCAGACAAAGACCTTGTTTTATTATTTTTACCTTATAAAAAGCTGTTTATATCTCCATGGTCGCAGGCAGCCGCCATCTTGTCTACGAAGGCTCATGGAGGACAAACTGCGGTGGCGGTGTCAAAAACTGTTTTAGTTGTAATAC